AGCTTTGCAGCTAAAATTCTAGTTGACATTAAGGGCCCGAAAGGCAAATCATAAAACTAAGGCAGGGGCCCAGTCAAGTGGCCTGAGCTAACACGACAAGGGCAGGAACAGTGCTTCAGTTCAATGACATGTAGCAATCTTATTTTTAGGCAGGAGCTAATAATGGACAGTATGTGTTCAAAATGGAGAATTCATTCAAGATATATCAGGCTTATGATGAAAAGACTTGTTTTTAATGTTGTTAATTTTAGGTAAGAGTCTTTGAAAACTGCTGGCATTATTTATGACTGGCTTGAGCATTAGCAATTCTCAAATCTACAGATTTGAGTAAGGCTGGGGAAAGTCTAATTTTTTCTATCTGATATTAATGAATTATCACACACATTGATTTATAATTATATTTATAATTACATAATTTATTATTTATATTATATATTGACTCACTAGAAGTATGATCCATTGGCAAAGATCAAATTCAACAGATTTAATATAAAATTCTATGATGGTATTTGTGGTAGACAAAATAATGTCCCCCAAAAGATGCCCATGTCCTAATCTCTGGCACCTGTGAATATGTTACTTTACATGACAAAAGAGACTTTTCAAATGTGACTAAAATTAAGGCACTTGAGATGGGGAGATTATACTAGATTGTCCAAGTAGGCCCAATTTAATCACATAGGTCATTAAAATTGGAGAACAGCTCCCGGCTGTAGTCAGAAAGAAAGATGGAAGCAGGAGAATGATTCAACACCCAGTTGCTAGTTCGGAGACACTGGGAACTGTGTTTAGAGAATGAATTCTGCCAAGAACCATAATGAGGGAGGAAACAAAGCTGCCACTAGATCCTCCAAAAAGAAAAACAGCCCTGCTAATGCCTTCATTTTAGCCTGGTGAGACTTATGTTGGACTTCTTGCCTACAGAACAGTAAGATAACAGAATTGTGTTGTTTTAAGCCACTATGTTTGTGGTAATTTGTTATGGCAATAATATGAAACCTACATAATTATGCTATACGAGTTGGAGATTTATAAATTTTAAGCTCCTCATAGGCAAGGATTTCTCTTTTGTTCAGTGACATATATTAAGTGATTATAACAGTGCCTAGGAAATAGTAGATGCCCAATAAGTATTAGTTGACTTTTTGGTATTTAGTATTAGTCATATTTATTGGTCATTCCACCAACAAATATTTTTTGAGTGCCTAGGCAAACATGGTCGGTGTGCTAGATGTTGCATGGGGATGTAAAAATATAAAAGACATATTTTCATAAAATCTGAGTCAAGAAGCTTAGATCAGTCTTGAGCAAGAATAGGAGTGAGAAAATTATAGCTTGCAGGCCAGATCTTATCTACTGCTTATTTTTATAAATAACGTTTTGTTGAAACACAGTCCTGCTCATTAGTTTCCATATTATCTTTGGCCACTTTCATGCTACAGTGGCACAGTAGAGTACTTGTTTAGTTGTAACAGAGACTAGATGACCCACAAAGCCACACATGTTTACTGTCTGGTCCTTTACAGAAAACAAAACAACAAACCTGTCAACTCCTGAGCTAGAATCCCATCTTTATGGGTTGCTAGCTGTATACTTCAGGAAAGTGTATAATCTCTTGAAGCTTCACTTTTCTATAAGGTGGTAGTATTTTTCTCATAGTGTGGTTGTGACAATTAAATGTTGAAAGAGAATTAAATGATGGCTTCCAGTACTTAGTATAGACGAATAATTCAGTAAATGGTAGTTGTTACTATTTTTTCTTTTTTTGGAGGTGGAGTCTCCCTCTGTAGCTGGGCTGGAGTGCAGTGGCATGATATTTGCTCACTGCAACCTCCTCCTCCTGGGTTCAAGTGATTCTCCTGCCTCAGCCTCCTGAGTAGCTGGGACTACAGGTGTGCACCACCACACCCAGCTAATTTTTGTATTTTTAGTAGAGATGGAGTTTCACCATGTTGGCTAGGATGATCTTGATCTCTTGACCTCATGATCTGCCCGCCTTGGCCTCCCAAAGTGCTGGGATTACGGATGTGAGCCACCATGCCCGGCCTGTTATGATTTTTTAAAAGACAATTTTGAGAGCAATTTTAGGTTCACAAGAAAATTGAAAGAAAGATACAGAGATATCTCATAAACCTTGTACCCTACATATGCATAGTCTCCACAGTTATAAACATCCCCCACCAAAGTGGTAAACTAGTTACAACTGATGAACTGCACTGACACATCATTATCACTGAGAGTCCATAGTTTACGTTGGTGTTGTGCGTTTGTTCTGTGCATTTGAACAAATGTATTAATGGCATGTATCCACCATTATAATATCACAGTATTTTCACTGCCCTATAATTCCTCTGTACTCTACATATTCATGCCTCCCTTGCCCCTAACACCTGGAAACCCACTGATCTTTTTACTGTCTCCATAGTTTTGCCTTTTCTAGAATGTCATATAGTTAGAATAATATAGTCTGTAGCCTTTTAATGTTGGCTTATTTCACTTAGTAATATGAATTTAAGTTTCCTCAATGCCGTTCCATGGCTTGATAGCTCATTTCTTTTTAGCATATGAATGATACTCCATTGTCTCAATGTATCACAGTTTATTCATTCACATACTAAAGGACATCTTGGCAGCATCCAAGTTTTGGTGATTAATAAAGCTGCTGTAAACATCTGTGTACAAGTTTCTATATGGATATAGGTTTTCAGCTCCTTTGGGTAAATAACAAGGAGGTGATTGCTGGATTGTATAGTAAAGTATCTTTAGTTTTGGAAGAAATCACAAAACTGTCTTCCAAAGTGGTTGTGCCATTTTACATTTCCACCAGCAAAGAATGAGAATTCCGTGCTCCACATCATTGCGAGCATTTACTATTTTTACTGTTTGGGGTTTCAGCCATCCTCATAGATGTATATTGGTATCTCATTGTTGTTTTAATTTACCTTTCCGTAATGACACATGATGTGGAGGATATTTTCAATATCATACACTAAGTCCTAGCTAGCAAAAAGGCAAGAAAAGGAAATAAGAAATATATAGATTGAGAAGAAAGAAATAAAACTGTTCTTATTTGTAGATAACATGTTTGTCAATGTTGAAAATCTGAAAGAATTGACAAAATCCTCCTGGAACTAATAAGCTATTATAGCAAGGTTGCAGGATGTAAGCTTAATATCCAAAAATTAATTGTTCTCCTATATACCGACAATGAACATGTGAGATTTGAAGTTTAAAAACACAATATTATTTGCTTTAGCACCCCCAAAAATGAAATACTTAGGTATAAATCTAAGGAAACATGTACAAAATCTATATGAGGAAAGCTACAAAACTCTGATTAAAGTTACCATCTTTTCATATGTGTATTGACTTCTCCTCTCTAACTATGAAAGTCCTAGATAACATCTTTGTCTACTATAAGGCTGTTTAATCTAAATTGAAAATCTGTTGTTTAATGTAGCCACTTTCATCAATTATTTTAGCTAGATCCTCTGGATAACTTGCTGCAGCTTCTACACCAGCACTTGCTGCTTTACCTTGTGCTTTTATGTTATAGAGGTGGCTTCTTTACTTTTCTTTTCTCTTTCTTTTCTTTTTTTCCTTTCATTTCCTCCTTTCCTTTCCTTTCCTTTCTTTTCCTTTCCTTTGCCTTTCTTTTCTTTTCTTTTTTGAGATAAAGTCTTGCTGTGTTACCCAGGCTCAATGCAGTGGCATGATCTTGGCTCACTGCAACCTCTGCCTCCTGGGTTCAAGTGATTCTACTGCCTCAGCCTCCTGAGCAGTTGGGAGTACAGGCGCACGCCACCATGTCCGGCTAATTTTTGTATTTTTAGTAGAGACGGGGTTTTGCCATGTTGGCCAGGCTGGTCTTGAACTCCTGATCCACCTGCCTTGGCCTCCTAGAGTGCTGGGATTACAGGTGTGAGCCACCGTGCCCAGCCCACCTTGGAGTTTTTAACTCTCAGAGTTGTTCATGCTCTGCCTACAGCAATTTGTCAATTACAGTCCATATTTTCCTGTATCAGCTTTGGTTCTCCAAAAAGATTTCTGCTCTGCTATGTTGTGATTCTCTGTATCCACCTATCTGTCCCTTCAATCTTGGGGACAGCAGTTTGCCTTGTGACCACACTTCTCTTACGGATCTAAGAAGAATTGTTGAGTTTTCAGTTTGTTCAGCTTTTTACTTGTTAGGACAAAGTGGTGACATCCAAATTCTTTATATGCAGAATTGGAAACTGGAAGTCCCCATAAAAATGTTGTGATTTTAAAAAATAGATTCTACTGTTATCCTCCTGCTGCTATCACCATTGCTACCACAATCAAGTTGAATAAGAAAGACATGACCACAAAAGTTGTTCAGGAAAATTACATGTATGTGTGTGTGTGTATATATATATATATATATAATATTTTCTTGAAAATTATATATAAATATTTAGTATTAAGTATATATATATATATATATATATATATATATATATATATATATATTTGTTTATTAAATCTCAGGTCCACTTTGCTTCCTTGGAATTATTACAGTCCAGCACCTACTGCTTAGCTGACAACATTGCAGCTGGTTTTATCTATATCTATTATCTCATCCTGATAAAGAATAATAAAGATCTTTACCTTCTCAGTCTGGGCTAATTTTTGATTTCTCTTTATGCTTTAAGATGATTTTTAAATGTAATAATTTATATAATTTTATACAATATTGTCATCACATTTACTGCTAACCCCTGAAGTCCCCACATATTGGTTAATGGCTAGATTTCTGTGTGTGTGGTACATTGTGTTTTCAAAGATGGCCATAACTATATTTACCATTCCACATACACTTTTGCAATGTGATCTTGCCCCTCCTCTATGGAAAGGCAGAGTCAGCTTTTTTCCCCGTTTGGAATGGAATGCATCTCAAGTGATACTACGTAACATCAATGGATGAGCCTTAAGAGATCTGTAGCTTACTCATTCACCTTTTTGAATAGCCATTCTTTGCTGTAAAATAAGTTTATCGGTGGTAACATGATAGAAGTTGTTCCCGGTATCTGCTGTTACAAACTTTAGGGTCCTTGAGATATGCAGGATCCTTGTGTGTAACTGGCATAAACCCCATTATTTGAGCTCTCTTAATTGCTTTTGTTATTTCTTTCTGTTTCTTCACACAAAGACCTGTAATGTACCTTCCATAAATGCCTCCAGTAAATGGAGAAACAAACTGGGCCAAAAGCTGTACCTTCTTATAATCTACATGCTTTCCACACATACATTTCTTAAGAGGTTCTTTATAAGGGCTTTCCATTAGAATGGGCAGGTCCTCATTGCTGGATATCTGTTTATATTGTGAAAATCCTCTTCTCCATAGCACTGTGTGAGTCCTGGGATGTGTAGGGCTGATAGCAGCCGTTACCAGGTGTGTCACTTTCTTCCTCCCTAGACCACCGCAAACAGTAACCATAGCGGCCGTGGTTCTGTGTTTCTTCCACTTCCTGTCCTGAATGGTCATTCTTTGACCCCATTTACCTTACTGTGAAGAAACCCAAGTAGCTATGTGGAGAGTCTCATCTGCAGGAGAACTAAAGCCTCTGACTGACAACTCAATAACCATTTTGAATTTTGTAAATATCCCTGTATCTTAGCCAATGCCGTGTGAGGCAGAAGAAACACCTCATTCATAAACAATCATGAAAGATAATAAATTGATTTTAGAAACCACTAAATTTTTTGGTTGTATGTTACATAGTAATAGATAATTGAAATACTAAATTCATGTGACAAGTTATCTTCTGCTTTAAGATCTCTAACTGTTCATGGGAATCTATGACACAAAGTTTTTGAATGTCAGATGAGGACTAGCAATACAGATGTTAAGCCATCATTTAGAATCATTTTTGAAAGTTTCAAGTTTTTTTCTGAAGAGAAGTGAAGGCTGAAGAGGGGTGAGGAGCAACAGGATGTTTCCAGAGATCTGTTACTGGAGGAAGCATCATCTGGAAAATACTCTGAATAAAAGTAAAATTTCCTTATCTTTTGATGTTAAGTCACCATCATTTAGCAGTATGTTACTTTTCCATCTTGGCATTTTTACTACTCACCTTTTGCTTTCTTTTCACAATTCCACAACTCATGTGGTTTCTCCTGTTTGGAAGAACTTTCTACTTTCTAGTTATTTGACGAATACCTACTTATTTTAAGAAGGCTAGCTCAAATACCACCTCTTTCAGAAGACATTCCTGATGCTTTTAGCCAAGAACTCTGTATATCCCTGGACATGAGATGTTATCCAAGTTCATGAGTGGACAGAATAAAAAATATTGGCCGGTGGGGTACGGTGGCTTATGCCTGTAATCCCAGCACTTTGGGAGGCGGAGGCGGGTGGATCACCTGAGGTCAGGAGTTTGAGACCAGCCTGACCAACATGGAGAAACCCCATCTCTACTAAAAATACAAAATTAGCCAGGCATGGTGGTGCATGACTGTAATCCCACCTACTTGAGAGGCTGAGGCCTGAGAATCGCTTGAACCCAGTATGCGGAGGTTGCAGTGAGCTGAGATCATGCCATTGCGCTCTAGCCTGGGCAACAGGAGCGAAATGCTGTCTAAAAAAAAAAAAAAAAAAAAAAACCTGGCCAACTCAAATATATTTTGAAGATATTCAAATATTTAGAATATATTTGAATATATTTCAAATACACTTTCAAAGATGTTTCTAAACGATGGCTTCATATCTGTATTGCTAGTACTCAATACATTTGACCAATCCACATTACTACACACACACACACACACACACACACAGTCTACTGACAATATCAAATGTATCAATAGAGTTACACATGCATATTTAAAATCACATTTATAAAACCTCAGTTATTTTAAAAATATTGCTTTGTGCTATTTTCACTTTTTTTTAATTTTCACTTTTTTAAAACAATGTTATTCAAACGTGGCACCTGTGCCTTCAGTATCATTATCTTTATGATCACTAAAATCACTCATTTTGGTCCTCCAACATGATTTTCCAGAAGACACCATCTTTGCTTTCACTTATGTTGTTTGAAATATACCACTTCCTGTAATGCTGCTACTAGAAGCTTTAACCCAAGCTGCAAAAATCCATACCTGTATGATTAAAAGAGTGTTTCATTTCTTTATTTTCCATTCTTTCCTTTAGGCATATATTAGTGATTTCCACAAATGAACCATGTATCATCATTTGCACATGTAAAGCAACATACCTTAAGATAATTTACTGAGTTTAGGCCAACTATGTTTTCCTCTTTAAAAAACTAATTATTATTTTTTCTTAGTGACTCGTAATATAGGAAAATATTATGATTATTTTAGCTGAAATTGGTTGATACTGATTTAAAACAGGTGTTTTCAACCTTAGCTGTAGCCTAGAATTACCTGAAGAGCATAAAAACTATAAGCAAGGCACCTTGAGGTCCCCTCCCCAGTGTTCTAATTTGATTGATCTGGAATTTTAGTTTGTGAAATCTCCCCCAGAGAATTCTAATGTGCAACAAGAGTTTAGAACCACTGATTTGAAACCATTATTAGTAGAGCAGTGGTTCTCAAAATAAAGTCCTCAGACTAGCAGCATGAGCATTACTTGGATATTTGTTAGAACTGTGAATGCTTCAGCCTCACCCTAGACCTCAAAGTTTTAGGATGGGGCTCAGCAATCTGTATTTTAAAAAATGCTCCAGTTGATTCTGATGTACCCTGAAGTAAAAGACCCAAGGAAGGAAGAGGATATCATAGAAAGAAAACATGAACTATAGATCTGGGAGATAAATGAGCAGAGGGAAACTCCAGGGTACTTTAAAGTTACTACTGATTTCCTTCACCAATGTGAAAAAACAAAGGTTTACAATTCCTAAATTAAGGCCTTGAGTACCTTGTCTACCTGAGATTGTGTTTAGGCTAATATGTTTTTCTGGAATAGTAGTTTGTTGTTCAAAGTATATTTATTGATGGAACATGTAGTGTGACACAAGGTATGAGGAATGTAATATAAGGGAGAGGTAATTTGTAGAAAAATGACTTGCCTTGTATTCAAGCATATATAGTAACCTCTCCTCTGAATTCCTATATATAGTGCTTTAACTGTACATGTTTTAGGTATTGACCACATTCCACATTGCAATGTAGTTAATTGCTTAAGCTTTTTCTCTAAAGCTAGGCTAAGTATTCTGAGAAGGATCCAGGATTAAGAAATAATATAAAGAATCGGGATCATGAACAGATGCACAAACCAAAAGGTGCCAGATTAAATGGCATTGATCAGAGGACACCTCAAAACAGTTATTCTCTCAGCTTTTCTCTGTCCTAAAGTCTAGCTTTTATTTTATGCTTCCTCTAGCCTCCTATTTTGCCCTAATTTCCAGAAACATAATGGAAAAAGATAAGGCAGTATTCTAATTATTTCATGGTTGGTTCCAAGCAAGGGGAAGTGGGTTGGCCAAATAATTCTTCTACAAGGCATGGCTAGCTCTGTGCATCTTTAAAGGGCAAGCAAGTAGAGGAGGCACCCGTTAATTCTGGGGCCATATGGATAGATGCATACACAATACAAGAATTTTGGCCTTATTGGCTATACAACACAGTACCTATAGTTAACAATAAGGTATTATGTATCTAAAATTTGTTAGGAGGGGTAAATTCATATTAAGTGTTCTTACTCTCCTCCATGCACAAAACCACGAAGGCAGACAAGAAAACTTTTGGAGTTTGATGAATATATTTATAACCTGGATTATGATGGTAACATGAGTTTATACACATGTACAAAATCACCAAATTGCGTATATTAATTTTGTGCTATTTCTGTGTAAAAATTATACCTAGGAAATTATTCCTTAACAATTATAGCTGGTAAAAATAGATTTTAGGAGGGTGCCATTGACCATGATATTTTAGGGCTCAGACAGAGGCAAGTGAGACTCCTAAAGTATAAATCTTCTTTTTAGTGGTAATTTTAGGAGTCACCCACACAAGTGGCTGATAAATATACAATGTCCAGTTGTACAGATAAATATACAATATTCTAATGTTACCTCAAGGCCTTAATTTAGGAATTGTAAACCTTTGGTTTTTCACATTGGTGAAGAAATCGGTAGTAACTTAAAAATATCCTTGAGTTTCCCTCTGTTCATTTATCTCCCAAATCTATAGTTCATGTTTTCTTTCTATGATATCCTCTTTCTTCTAATAATTGGCTTCTGAGATTAATAAATTATTGGAAGCATAGGAAAAAATGAAAAGTTGTCTCTTTGAGAACAGGGACAGGGATACATTTTTTTTTTTAAGAGAGAAAAATGAAAAGATGCAGTTATTGTGTTTAAAGCCAGAGGCAGATTGTGCTGGCAATAAAGGAGAATTTGTGAGCTGCTGTGTGGAATTGAAAGTTCTGCCTTTACTTTCTGTGCCACACTTAGAGAGCTTATTCATCTGTCCTTTCAACACCACCAGTATTTTTGTAAACATGAAAAACACAACGAAATAACCTCAAGATTTTAATTGCTGTGGAAACAAGTTGTAGGAAAAATACAAGACTGATGATGTATACCCTAAGCATTCATTGCTCTGTAACAATATTAGAAGAGAACAAACAGCTTGAGATGGCACTTGTTCTGAACATCTTTCCTTAGGGAATGCACTCAGGAATAATCTCCTGAGTTTGCAAAAGACATGAATTGAATTTGTTAAAAAGGGTGGAAATCTAGAAAGTAGTTCCCTATTACGTATCACCAAGCAGACTTGCTCAACACCACTCTTAACTGCCTCGAGTTGCCTTCCAGTGCCCCAAAGACAGGGATGTTAAATGCTACATTACCTGGATTCACTTGTAGCTGGTATTCTTCATGTCTGACAAGGGGATATATTAACACTGGAGATTGGGAAGGCAGAAGCAAGCACCATATAGCATGGCCAAGGAACTCTTTTGAAAGGCAAGGTGGTCGAAGCATTTTGTTCTTTTGAGGCATGTGTGGAAAAATTGTAGTGTCCAGTCCAAGCTTTATCGGTGCCAAGTAGAGGGCAGCTGTAAAAATAGCAACTACAGATTTCATGGAATACTCCTGTATGGTGATTGGAATTTCTCATGGCTGCTGGTTATGTATCATCGAAGCTCATTTTCTTTTCCTTTTCTGAGATGGAGTTTCACTCTGTCACCCAGGCTGGAGTGTAGTGGCACAGTCTTGGCTCACTGCAACCTCCACCTCCCAGGTTCAAGTGATTCTCCTGCCTCAGCCTCCTGAGTAGCTGGGACTGCAGGCATGCGCTATCACAGCTGGTTAATTTTTTATATTTTTAGTGGAGACGGGTTTCACTATGTTGGTAGGCTAGTCTCGAACACCTGACTTCGTGATCCACCCACCTCGGGCTCCCAAAGTACTGGGATTACAGGTGTGAGTCACTGTGCCCAGCCTTGTTTTCTTGGTCCTTCCCAAACTTCTTAAGACCTCTGGTCTCTAAAGG